GTTGAGCTGGATAGTGTCTCCGGCACTCGAAAGAAATCTAGGAGCTTGATTACTGTCAAAATCGTACAGATGAACGATCAAAGATACTGGTGCAGAGGCTACAGTCATCCCCTATAAGTTGTACAAGGAAATCACAAACAAACCTCTTCACAAAATTCAGCAACCTTTGAAGGGTTGGCTTGCACCTAAACCCATCCATCCAAAGGGCTCTGTGTGAGGCTTCCAATTTAATATCGGAGTCATGAACTTAACCTTTTGTATCGTCGTGTTGTTTATTTTTGTTGTTGTAGTTGTTGTTTTTATAATTCATTGATTTAACATCATTCAACATAACATTACAATACACTTTACAATAACAGAGCGGCAAAAAAAGAGGCAAAACAGTAAACAAAATAACAAACAAACAAAAAAGCAAAAAAACGCGAAATACGAAATAATAATAGTGCGCGTTTGCTAAATTACTATAAATCAACACTAATCAGAAATGCACAGGATGGTCCACTTATTTCTGTATTTGTTAAGATTTCTGTTTGTTATTGCAATTTCTCTTTCGCACTGGATTTTAATTTCCAGGAGAACAATGAAGACCTCCAGTTCTGGGGTCTCAAAGTTGTTTCTAGCTGAGTAAACGTAAAATCTGGCAATTAAGAGACAACGGTTAAAAGTATGAAAGCTGTTAGATTCAGGTTTGTATCCATAAAGAACTTCCGTTGGAATGGGATTTGTGTTTTCAGAACTTTTACGATTCCACCAATCTACGACTTTTTCCCAAACAATTTTGACGGCGGGACACTCGTAAAATATATGGCTAATAGTTTCACAGTGAGCATCACATTGTTCGCATTTTGGAGAAGACTTAACATTCATTTTCCAAAGGCGTTGGTTGGTTGGAAGAATATTGGGGATGAGTTTGAATTCAAAACTTCTTAGCTTATTTTCAATGGTGATTTTGAATGGAGGCTCATATACGGCACTAGGAGTGAATGTTTGTTTTCTTAATTAGGATTGAATTAATGGAGGGCAGAAAGATTTCTCAGAAAACATTAGTCGAACATATTTTGCTGAAACATTTTCAACAGTTAGTTTTGTCACCGTTGGTTCGTCGGTGTTTGCCAGATTGCCGTGTAAGATAGCATTTTTCCAATCTTTAGGAATCGCGGCCAGAAGACCACCGTAATCAAGAACAGTACAACGAACGTCGAAAGTATCTTTAAGGTCTTGGAAAGATAGGATGTTATCGTGAGCATTGACGATATCTTTGATTTTTCAAATGCCTTTTAATTACTAACCCATGCTTTATTAAAAAAACGTCTTTCCGCCGATCTTAATAAAGCGGTTGTTCCAAAGTATTTCCTCTTTGCATGATTTCATTAACACTGAGGGGTACCTTGGCATGAAGGATCTGCCAGACAGTTAAAATTGTTTATTGTTTATTGTTTATTGTTTTTTTTGCCAAAAAATTATACAAATCAAATGAAATCTAATTACTTAAACTCTCATGGCGAGGAAGCCCAAGAGAAGCCACCGGGCTTATAAGGAATGGGCTCCCTCAGTTAGATAAATAGAACAAAACATTATCATAATTACACATGGGAAAATCAATGGCAGAGCTACAGTAAATCTTAAAATAAGTATATTAGATAGTCGTACTAATCATAGTTCTAGGCTAAAAAAAGCGAAATGACAAAAAGAAAAAACAAAACAAAAGAAATGAAAATAAAAGAGCAAAGGAAGAAAAAAAAATACATATATATATAAATTACTATTTATGATAAGAGGAATGCTTTCAGTTTACAGCAAAAGGAAGCGGTACTTGTTGCATTTCGAATTTCAAAACTAAGAGAGTTAAAAAATTTAGGACCTTGGAAACTGATGGAGAACTTTCTTATATTAGTCCTGCATTGCGGTAAATAAAAATGCTCCGAACTTCTAGTGCCATAAGAATGCACCTGGCGTGTCACCAGAAACATGTTATTGAAGCTATAAGGAAGTAAGCCAGATCTGTATTGATACATAGATTTTCCTATTTGAAGTTTGTAGATACTCTCAAGATTCAGAATTTTTAAATTTTTAAATAAGGGGTCAGTGTGAGCATCGAAAGCACTCCTCGACATTGTTCCTTTAAAAAAGGGAGACCTTCTAGATCTAAAAATTTCAATCGTAATTCAACACGGAAAGAAAAAAGAGCCACTGAGAGTCAAGAAGCGCACACCAATGATTACCATCAGATGAACAATAGCGATTTACCCAGCAGATCTAAGAGATTTTTCTACGTCCACGGAATTGACCATGTTGATGGAAATTTTACACCATTGCTGGGTTGTGATGCATGTCTGGACTTAGAAGTCCTCGAGTTTGTGAACCTTGAACTGATAACTACTCCAGGGTCAAAACAACCAGAGCAAGACTGTTTTGTGATAAACCTGGCAAGTTTCCTAACAAAGTACATTTGGAAGTTGATCCGTTAGTTCCTCCAGTGGTACATCCTCCCAGGAAAATTCCAAGTGCACTTCTTGAACCAGCACGAGAGAAGCTCACAGAGATGGAAGAAGATGGGATTATTGTTAAAGAAGAGGAAAGCACCCCTTGGGTTTCATCTATGTTAGTGATTGACAAACGAAAGTGAAAGAAAAGAACACTCCACTCGAAGGATGATGTTCGAATTTTTATTGACGCAAGGTACCTAAACAAAGTTCTTAAGAGAACACACTTAAGAAATGGTAAACGTGCAGCGTGCACCCAAAAGAAAGAAGCACGAAAGAAGCGTAATCGCCTCGTGCGACTCTAGCTTCTTGAGGGCTTAGCAAACCTCCCAAGTGCATCCATAACTCCATCGTTGCACAGCTGCAACGTTTACCATTTCTTTCATAACATAATCAAAAGAGAAAAACATTATTTTCCATTTGCCTTCGGTTGAGTCATCGGTCCGAGTTCATGTATGCTGCCATCTGCCCGCACGTAAACAAATCATGTTTAGTGTATTTCAAAAACTTGCCTTTGAGTTTTTCTTTAGCTGAATCAACCGTTCTCCGTCTTCAGGCAAATTGCAAAAAGTTTTTTGTTGTTATTCTGGATGGCATCTGTCTACTTGCTCTTAATATTAGGGTAAAAAACTTTGAGGGAAAAATATAGCTGCAACTATAAACACCAACTAAAAAGACTCTAAAAAATAAGCTAAAACTAAATAAATGAAATAATTATCAAGCTTATTTATGGGACAATTTTTGAAATAAACGTAAAGTAGAAATGAGAAAATTTGACTGTAGTTCCTTCAGAAAAACAGGTAACACTAACTTGAAAAAGAAATTAACTAGCTCTGTATCGAATCTGTCTGGGGAAATCCAGCTATGAAAGTCAAAGTTGTAACTGAAATTCGCCGACACACAGCCGGCGCTGAAGCTGTTGTTTTTCGACCGTTCTCTGAACGACTGTTATGAATGAACACTGAGGAACAAAATAATACACACGAAGTTATTTTTTTGAAAAATTTATTTGAAAACCCAAATGTTTCTCTACTCAAATGAAATTCGCTTATTCCAGCGTAATGTGCCAGTTTAAACTCAACTAAAATTTTTAATCGATGCGATGGAAACTTCACAACAAAGCTGTCTCGAATTTGAGCGTGTTTTCTTAAAATATTTGCTTGAATTTAGAATCAGCTTGACCAAAAAATCAATAACACAATGCTAATTGATAAATTTACGTTTCAAACAGACTTTCTCTTCTACAAAAAACACACAAAATGTACAAGAGGCTTTTGATAAGCTGAAGTCTGTCATCACTAGTGCGCCGGTGTTAGCATACTTCGATCAGATCAAAGAAACGGTGCTAAGTGTTGGATTAGAAAGCAGCACCTTGAAGAGATTCAAGGACAGCTCAAGTGCTGAATGGACATCAAAAGTGGTGAAGGAGTATGTTTTTAAAGGATGGCCCTCTGAGAAAGAGCAAGTTGATGAACTTGCGAGGGAATATTAGAATTTCAGAAGAGAGCTGAGTGTTGAGGACGGCATGTTATTTAAATCAGACAGAATTGTAGTGGCAAGACAATTGAGAGCTGAAGTGTTGGATGAAATTCATGGAGCTCACGTGGGACAGAGCAAAAGCGTTTTCTTTGCAAGGGATTATGTTTTCTGGCCTTCCATGACTGACCAAATCAAAGGCAAAGTCAGTTCCTGTGCCGTGTGCAATGCCTTCCGCAACCGACAACAGAGAGAGACATTACATTCTCATAACATTCCAGGATTACCTTGGCAAGTAGTTGGACTGATCTGTTTGAATATGATGGCCAAACGTACCTGTTAGTAACTGACTGCTATTCGAAGTACTTTGATGTAGAACAGCTTCGCCAGACCACCGCCATTTGTGTCATCAACAACTTGAAGAGAATATTTGCGAGGTTTGGAATCCTAGAGAAAGTTGTCAGTGACAACGGACAGCAGTATAGCAACACCAGAAATTTGTTCAGCGACAACCACGAGTTCAAGAAATTCGCTGAAGAGTGGGGATTTTCCGATACAACCAGCTCACCAGAGTATCCTCAATCGAATGGCGCAGCAGAAAGAGTTGTTCAGACCGCAAGACGCATTCTTAAGAAGGCTACAGCAGAGAACAAAGACCCATTTGAGGGACTGCTAAAGTATCGCAACACCCCATTTGACGATATCGGTGTGTCACCTGCACAGCCGCTGATGAGTTAACGCACCCCAACAATAATACCAACTCAGCGACGTCTCTTGTTACCTCAGCCAGTGGATCAAGATCATGTTCTGAAAACGCTTCAGCGTAATGCGCGACAGCGTAATGCCAAGTCTTGTTATGACAAGCACAGTAGAGATTTGCCTCCACTGAAAGTTGGGGACAAGGTGCCGAAAACAGGTTTACTACTCTCCCTTACCGCGTTTCGACTTCATTACTGTTCTAGTATGTGCGACCTTCTACTTACATTTGCACCAATGTCCTATTTGTCTTCTGTCTAGTAGAGACAAGGTTTACTAAGGGGGATGACCCCAAGGACAAGGGTTCCTCCCATAAGTACCCAACCTCGAGACCCTTCTGCGAGTACAAGACAGAAGCTAGCGCCAAGTCAAGTGACACTACAGACAGGCAGAAACAATGTCACACACTCCATTACAATCAGATCTGGGTGTCAAGTTAAGAGGCCGCAAAGACTCATTGAATTGTGTTAGGGGGTAGATGTTGTAACATTGAAACCTGTGTTGTTCCCCAATAGGGGCCCCTGACTGACTCAGATGCACAGCCCGAAAACGGGGAACCGCGTGCGTTGTGTTTTTTACTTGCCTGGGGCACGAACGTGTTAGGATAGCCTTTACTGTGGTTGTTTAGTCTTAGCTTCATTGAATGATCTTATAACAAGTGCCAACACTTACACGAAGTTTGCCTTGCTTGGAACCAGTTTCAAAGTTGTTATACTAGTCACCGCCCTTATCAATAGCAGAAGCAGCGTTGTTTTGGTGAAAAGTTTAGAAAACTGGCGAAAATAGTAGAATCTCCCGGGAAGTATAGCTGTATCGCGTTTTATAAAATAACTAAGATAGTACGTGCGCTCTGATTGGCTGAGAGGCGTGCTTGCATGAGAGTATGTAAACATGGTTGTGTGACGTAAAGATTTTTGCGTTTCGCGGCGAATTTGAATACTTTCAGGGATACATTCTCGGTTGTCAAATCTCTTTTACTTTTGAAACAGAAATTAAGAAATGAACGAAGATTTCCCAAATTTCAATTTGGGCCTAGATGAGTATTTGAAAAAAAAACGGCAGAAGACTGAAGAAACAAGATTTGCGCAACTGAACGATGATAAGCTGGATGACCTCGTCGAGGGAGCCCAAGCGAAGTCTACAAAGTATGCCACAAACTATGCTGTGTCAGTTTTGAAAGGTAATTTCTCAGTAAAAATACTTCTGTGA